TGTACAGTCTCCGGTTGTATTTGAAAAGATCGGATACGTATCGGATATCCAAGTGGTCTGGGTCGCATTCGAAAAAATCCGATCTTTGTTGTTCAGACTGTCAAGAAATGACCAGATTCAGGTCGCAGTGAGAGAAAAATCAGAATTGTGTGACTTCAGGCTGCAGAGTGACCGCAGCCTTTTTCTCTGCAGGGCTACAACAGCAGCAGAGAGTACATCGCCACGCAGGGTCCTCTGCCCTCCACAGTTGTTGATTTCTGGCGGATGATTTGGGAACAGAAAGTGAAGAGGGTTGTCATGGTTACCAACCACAAAGAAGCAGGACGGGTACGTTTTTAAAAATCAAAGTTATTCAAGTGTCAGGTTTTAAATTAAGTTAAAGAACAAAATGAAAGTTAACAGGTTACTTTCCTTGTTGAATTGTAATTAAAAGGGAATTAAATTATAGTAGATAGTCAAACTGAATCAGAACATGAATAATGGAAATGTTATGTCTTTTTTTATGTGCAGGCCAAATGTGCACAGTACTGGCCTGAAGGCCTGAAGCAGAGTCAGTATGGAGACGTGTTGGTCTCTGTAACGTCTGAACTGAAGGAACCCAACTGGACACTGAGGCAGTTTACCATCAAACAGGTACAGGACGTCACTTTAACACATGGATACTAATAGTAAGTCTAATAAAACTCTTAGGATTTGGCTGCATAGTTGCTCTTTAAATATCCTTTTCTTTTCAAGGGTTTCAGTGTTTTTATGACATTACACTAAATGTTTTATTGAATATTAATGTTTCCACACAGAAAAGAAGCTCAGAGCAACGATCAGTCAAACATTTCCACTTCACTGTCTGGCCTGACCGCAGAGTCCCTCAGGGCACAGAGGTCCTGATCCAGTTCAGAAGGATTGTGAGGCAGGACATCGAGAGTGACGGATCAAAGGCTCCAACCGTGGTCCACTGCAGGTACCCAGTTTACCCAGTTTACCCAGTATGGTCTGTCGTTACTCCACAGATGTTTGCAGCAACAATCAGCAAAATTTCAAGGTTGTGGTTTTGATGGACTTAAATAAACCCAGATATTTAATTTTGTTTTGTTGACCCAAACTAATGAAAACAGTTCAGATTAAATGATTATTTTTCTGAATATATACCTGCAAATATGCCACTAACTTATGGCACCTTGTTTTGAGTTTTTTACACACGCGCAATCCAAACTTTTGGATTTTAGTAATGAAGTCAATAGATGCGAATATCCATTCATTAATTTAAAAGAAAATTCCTGACAAAGAATAAAATCTACAGAGTTAAGATAATTTCTGTTTGAAAAGTTGAATTTTTTTTACATTTGAGCTCAGAAATTAATTGGATTAATCAAAAAACCCAAGAGGTTTTTTTTCTATGTGCAATAACCCTAATATTGAGTAGATGGAGAAAACATTTGCAGGTAAATAAAAAAGTAAATTATTTTCATTCGATCACACCAGAGCTGCTTGTGTTTCTTTGCAGCGACGGAGTGGGAAGAACGGGAACTTTCATCGCTCTGGACTTCCTGCTGCAGCAGCTGGAGAAACAACAAGCTGTCGGCATCAAGGACTTTTTACACAGGATGAGGCGACATCGATCACACATGGTGCAGACGGAGGTAAAGCTGCTTCATGCTGCTTCAGAATAGTTACTGAAGCTATATAATCCAAAAAATAAGTTCTGGAAACAAAGTGTTTTCCTATTTTTACCCTTTTGTGTCAAATTAAGACTTTCTGCTGACAAATTTGAACTGTAAAGCTGAATTATCCATCCAAGGGATTTCTAATGTGCTGAATTTGACCGTTTAAAATTTATATCTATGGATGGTTTAGATGGTTCTTTTTTTATTTTGAACAAACTCAGGCTCACACAAACACAGATAATCTGAAAAATAAGTAAATAAATAAATGAGCAGAAGCCTGTTGTAAATTTCTGTGTTTCCGTCTTAATTCAGATGCTGCAACCGAGTTTTGTTTTGTTCATTTCCTTCTCAGTCGCAGTACGTTTTCCTGCACCAGTGCATCATGGACATCCTGCAGGATGAACACATTTATGAGAATGACGACACGTATGCAAACACCATCCAGCTTCAGGAAATTATGTAACACAAAACTAGTTTCATTCCTGGAATAACATAAGGGTAAACCATGTCTGTGTGAACAGATTGGAGGTGGACGGATTGATATAAATATTGATAATATCAATACCAAGTCGGTATCTGTGTTGGATATTAAAATTGACACTTTGGTTTCCGATTTTCTGTTGAAATTTATTTTATTTATGTATTTTTATCTCTACCTTAAAAGATGTTGTGGGATTTGCTCTGAAATGGTTTTTTGCACTTTAGAAAAAAACCCACAAATTAGTTTTTTTCTGTTTATTGTGTTGATGTTGTTAAGGTGTTTGTAGACACCTATCAACTTTTTCCAAATTCTGTCTTATATTTTAACAAAATAATTCAAAGAAAAAACTACAAAAACAGGACAGAAGTTTATTATAACAAACTCAAATAGTAAAAAGTATCGGTATCTGTATCGGTATTGGCGATACTGGAACTGTATTTACTTGGTATCAGATTGATACCAAAATATGTAGCGTTGTACACCTCTAGTCAAGATGTGACTGTTTTATACTGAATGTTTAATAAATGTTTCTGTACTGTAAAAAATATCTTGTGAACTCGTCCATTTCCTTCCTCCAAAGTTAAATAATTATGAAGCCAATTTATGAAAATTTCTCTTCAGGTGGTCAAAAAAAGACTTAAATGTTATCAAAAATCTCAAAATGTTAATATAAGAAACATTACTCAGAACTACATAACTCAGTTCAATGTAAAAGTGATTTTATATTACCAAGCAATAAACTTCAGAGAGAGTCTCTAAGGGCCAAATTACAACAAAATATAATCTTTATCTGGAAATAAAACTTATTTACACAAGAACAAAGTCTTAGCTCCTTGCCTAGCATAAAAAATTAGACCTTTAATAGAAATAAATGTCAGATCATTTACCAAGCTAATACAAAATAAGCAAAACAACATCAAAGCGAAACTCTAACCACAGGCTTACTCTCAGTACAGGATTAGATTGTACAGGAAATAAAAACCACAGATTGAAAACATCACAGGGGCTCAGCGGGGAAGTGGTGCAGTGTTGGGTGTTAGTAGGTTTTATGCCACTAGTAGTGAGGAAGAAGTGATTTCAGCTGTGGAGGAAGAGCAGGAGCGGCCCCTAGTGGTTGATGGATGTATAGCAGTAAATGTTATTTACAAGCTGTATTCGTCACATTTAGGCTGCGTTCACACACACTGCAGCCTGAAGTGGCCTAATACCGATTTTATTATTTATTTATTTATTTATTTATTTGCCTTAATGCGGCCTGTATCTGATCTTTTTAAGACCGTCTGAACAACACAGATCAGATTTTTTTTTTCTCCCTGAATGTGACCCAGGCCACTTGGACATCTGATGCATCCGATATTTTCAAATATGACTCAAGTCTGTACAGGCAGGTCGCATTCATCTCCCGGAACGTCATTGATACTCGACAAACGTCACTATTCTGCGTCCCGATATCCTCAAGAAAGGAGAAAGATAACAACCCATAACCATGGCGGACGATAATGAGGATTAAGTTGTTCATGTTCTGGTTCCGGTCGGACAACAACTTCAAAATCGTAAGCTATGCTACACCATTAGCATCCACATTTACTTCCGCAAACACTCAGTGATGTGGCGGTTGGCAAAACATTGAGCACGCTCTCTATTTGTGACGTTATTGCGCCCTCCAGTGCGCATGCGGGACACTTTCAGGTCGTTTGCAGTTCAACTGGAGATCACGTACAAGTTGTTTAAATTTGGAAACGACCGCGGCAAAAAAAAAAAAAAAAAAAAATCCGATTTGACAAAAAGTCGGAATTGGATCACCTATGTAATTTTTTTAAGAATATGTGAATATCTGTATCATTTTGACCACTGTTTTTTTGTTTCAGCCATTATGTTTCTTTGTGCTAAAATGCATTTTCTTGTGTCAAAATTTGCTCTTGAGTATTTTCAGTATTGATTTTGTAGCACAAAATGTAGCAACAAAAAAAAAGAAAAGTTTTTCCAAACCCTTGAAAAGTAAAGATTCATATGTTGAAGCAAATTTAGGCTATATAAAGTAAAATAATCTGATGGAAGATAAACATTTAACTATGATCAAAGCATTAGTTATTTTCAGTCTTAGATGTTTCACTTTGTCAGTCTGCTGTCAGTTTACTTGCTTTCTATTTAAGTTAAAATACTTTACAATTATTTTAAGAAAGCCAAAATTACTTTTTTAATGTTGCACTAAAATAAGATGGAGCTCTAACTTAAAAAAAATTAACTTAATTTGCTACAGGTAGTCAAATTAAGTTTGTCGAAATTGTTTTATTTATATTTATTTAACATGACAACCTAATAAACTTAATATATTTATTTGGATAAACTTAATTTAATAACTTATGACAAATTGACTTTTTTAAGTTGGATCGCCTGTTTTCTTTTTTCATTGTGGAATTAAACTATACAGAGGAACGCTGCCCTCTAGTGTTTATGTTTCTAAAATAGCAAACGTTGAATTGTTACATGTAATTTATTGTACTTCAGAGTTTGTGCAGTCTGACACAAATTTCTTTATGCAAATATTATTTACAATTTAATTCCACACTTTTTCCTTTGACTCAACTTTCCACTGATACACTTGGATACTCTGAACAACTCACTTCTTTACCAGTGACCTTTGCCCTTTGCTGGGTGGTAATGACAGCTGGGAAGTCAGCAGGCTGCAAGCAGTTGTGTTGGCCATGATATGACTTTTAGGGCATGAAAAGAAAGTCTTTTTTTAATGAACTTAGAGAGAATTAGATTATAATAACAGTTTGAAATCTTCATGTGTGATGAATCTATGTGTTAGTTTCACGTTCTAAAAAAAGGAGTAAAATGTAACTATTTTACAATATTTACATTTTTGGAGGTGTGTCTATATATCTTGACTCTAAATCTTTTCATTTAGATTATTTGGGATTATCTTGAAAAGGCTACATTCTGTTAGCTCATAGTCTTAAAAAGAAAAATAAAATAAAAGTAATTTTGTACTGAAATGTTAATGAGTAAATGAAAGGGATCAGCCAACATCATCGTTTTTACTCGTTTCTTCCTTGTTCTTATACAACATGTTGTTAGTTAACAAGACCTGATTAAGTAAATTACATTTCAACATGTTTTCAGGAAATTCTGGACTTTCTTCATTTAGCAACGCTGGGCGTTTTTATTTCATTCTTCATAGAAACCTGTTTGTTTTTCCCACATCCTCATGGAAATATGACTAAAAACTCACATTATTTTGCTGTGGTTTTATGAATGGTTGTCAGAACATTATTGTAATTCTAGACTCCATCAGAAATACTTTTTTGTTATAAATTAGAACTTAAGCAACGTTTAAATTAATACAGTGATTAAATATTGTTTATTGTGTCTGCTTCACTTGTTCATTAACGTTGAATTCCTGAACATGACGGCTTCTACCATATTATTGAAATTTTATGATAACTAATAAACATTCCTATCAATAAATCCTATAATTTATCATGAATGTTGAATAAATCATCTTTATAAAAGCATCTGAAACAAGCTGCGCTCTGTTTGAAACACGGAAGGTAATTAAAGTTCTGCTGTAAAGTTTTATCATTCATGGTTGTGGAAAATTATCATTTAGGAAGGATACTTCCTTCACATGTTCCCCCTGTGGTTAGATGGTTTTAAGAGGCTCTTTGCTCTTTGTGAAGCTTTTATTGAGGCCAACTAAATGTGTTAGTTCAATAAACGGGTTGGACTTTTGCTCTGCCTTTCGCATTTTCAGTTTGCAGTTCCTTATAGGTCCAAACCGCAAGGAAGCCATAAATATCACAACTCGCTCAAACTGTGAACAGACAAAATCTTTAACAAAACCAGAACAGATGAATATTTTAAAGAAGTAAAACTTTAAATGTCGACATCACAAGACGTCTATAGATGTTTACCTTTATTTACGGATGATTTAAGGAATGAGCGGGTCATAACCCTGAAGCAGACAGTTACAGCTGATAAAAAGCAATCGACACTAATAAACTTGCAAAGCAGGCAAATCTGCTTGATCGATGTCCCTTTGAAAGCAGCAACTATAACTGTTAATAAGGAAGTGCCAGGCGGGGCAAAGGTCCCCGAGCTCACACAAGTCTAAAAAGGAGAAGCAGTTATTTACTGTGTCACTTGTGAGTAAGAGAAGGGACCAGAGGTTACAAAAGGAGGACCTGGTTAGGAATTAAAAGTCAACACTGGATTTATTACGGCTCTGAATCAGCAGCAAGCTGGGGTAAATTTGTTGCTTCAGTCAACACATGAGGTGGAAGAGCTGAGGTTTACCTGACAGCGGAGACGAGCCTCTGCTTGTTCATGTGATTTTAGGGGAATAATCAATGACAAAGATGGAGATTTTATCACTCAGATCCACCTCAGTCGTCCTGTTACTCTTCAGCCTGCTTTTGGTAAGTTCTGTATCATCTTTACATTTACTGGATCAGAAGCTGCAGCTGTGTGAAAAACGCTGAACCTCAACAAAAGGAAACAGTGTTAACCACAGAGGGGCTCATGATAGTCATCGCTGTACTTCAGCTCAAGAAGCAAAAGTACACTTTGCCTGTCCAAACAAAAAAAATCATTAGTTGGATTTAAGAAGCAAATTAGATAATAAATACATGGATGATCATCTTCCAGCTGTCAGAGATGCAGTTGGGGTTGAATAACAGCTTCTCATTTCTTAAACAACCATGTCTAAAGAGATCCAGAGATGTTAATCTGTTGAAAACGGCTCAAAATACTGAACACAGAAATGTACAGAAATCAAGCAAAGAAGACGTCTAAGGAGTTGGAGCGACTAAAATTAAGTAAAGAAGTTCAAAACAGTCTTAAAAACTGGAAGAAATGTGAGGAGCCTTTGTTGCCACAGAAGAAATGATGATAATCAGCGACCGGTGCAACTGTTGTTGAAATTAAGAAATAAAATAGAACTCGCATAGAAACCCATTCAGTAAGTTGTAATATAATAAAAAGTTTATTTCAATAACTCAATTCACTAAAATGATGTTTTCAAGTCTTCATTTCTCATAAGATGATTTTTAATTCACAGAAAACGAAAACACATCAAAGATTTAAATATTACCTCAGAACAATAAGAAAAACATATTACTACAGGAATATCAGTTTAATAAATAATATGCTTAAAGGTTTTTTCAAAAGGTATTTTTAATATGAGAAACGAGCTTCAACAGAACCTGCATTGTAATTTGTTTAATAGTGAAAGTAAGAACATTTCCACAACCCAGAGGGAACTACACTGTAAAACATCTGAGCTGCATTTAGTTGTGTCTACTATCTTCTTCTCTTTAAGTCAAATAAATTTAGTTAATTTTATATTTTTAACCTAAACCTGTGAGTTTGTGAAAGATAAACTTACAGCAGTAAGTTGTGTTAACTTTTTATTAAGAGTTGAATAAACAGAGTTTTTAGGTTTGCACTTTAAAAACTGAAAGAAGAAAAAGTCAGGAGTGGGAACTATTTCCCAGAATGCTTAGCGGCGTGTATTTCTCTCCTGAGATGGAA